GGGACGGTTCTGCAGAAGAAAACACAAAGAAATACTTAGAGCTAATGGGGCCGAACGGCCCACCAGTTACTTTGACACTGAATTGCATACATGGAACAGTTTATTGTCCTAGTTGAATGACAGCGTGAGATATTTGGGCGCGTTACGCGACTTGACCGAACGCGTCAATGTCGGACACCGAAATGACTCCCCAGGAGCCGCCACCGCTGTTCTTCGCGGGCTCAGACGACGAGGAAGACAACGAGGATGTGCCCATGGAACCCTCTGCCCCTTCGAGCTCTCGGCCATCCTCAAGAGCTTCGTCGCGTCTGTTCTTGGACGACAGCGACGACGAAAAACCTGAACTCGTTACCCCTTCCAAGCGACCCATCTATGTTGAGGATGACTCTGATAACGACGCTCCTCCTGTTAAGCTGGAGAAGGTCTCGGCCGGTAGTGGCAAGGCTGGGCCATCTCGGACTAAGGCCTCTGCTCCGGCCTCAAAAAAACGTCGTATATCCTCCCCGACTCTGCCAGAGATGCCACCGACTTACATCGGCGAAATGATCTTTGGGCACGCGTGGAGTAACGTCTCGGGGAAAGGGTACATCAAGATCAGCGACGAGGTCAAAATCATGCGAGAGCCTCGCGAGGAGAAGAAAAACGGGAGCAGCGGGACGAAGAACAAGAACCTGAAGCAGATGTCGCTTAAAGCTATGATGAAACAACCTGCCAAGGCCTCGTCGTCCAAGAATAAGAAGACCGACAACATCGTCCGCTTGTACAATTCGCGCGGCTTTGGTATGCCATCCGAGTCCTGTTTTAACCTGAACGCGACTCATCTATTATGGACAGAATTTGGGCGCCTTCCTCAAGATGTTTCAGCGTGGATGGCCAAGCTCCTCGATCTCGGTACGTCTCAGACGAGCCAACGCACAGACGGAGATCTGAACGTACATACACAGGCATCGTCGAGTTCCGGGGTAAAATGACGGACTGTCCCGAGAAACTCTCCACCGGCGCAACGCTCATCGTAACCGCTGACGTCTACATGCTGCCGGCCGCCTTCCAGCCCTCCAACATTCAGGCAGACGACGGCCCCCTCACGATGTTCTCTGAGGGCGCCGAAACGCTCGACGAACAGATGTTACGCGAGCGCAAGGCCTCCATCCTCAAGCTGTTCGACGTCCTCGGGCTGCGGCCCCAAGCCGGCGCCAACTTCGTAGGCCGCAAGTCGGACGAAGAGATTCATGAAGAGGCGGTCAAGAAGATGGCGCAGCATAAATCAAATAAGAAGGTGACCGAGATCGTGGGCGACGGCGAGGAGATCGAGGTGGATGAGGATGATGGCGAAGAGCTGAGCGAGAACGACCTCGACATGATCTACCAGAAGGCGCAGAAGAGCGATCGCACGATGGGTGAGATGGACCCCCCGAACACATTCACGTTTACGCTCCGCGGGTATCAGAAGCAGGCCCTCCTGTTCGTCTCTCCCGCATTCCTCTTCCCGTGTGGCTAACCTGGTGATAGATGGATGCACTCGCTTGAACTGGGGAAAATGGACGCGCGCGAGGCGGCTAGCATGCATCCGCTCTGGTCGCAATACGCGTTCCCGCATCCCCAAAGTGATGGAGGTGCCATCGATTTAACGGCGGACGAGAAGCCGTTCTACTTCAACCCTTATTCGGGCCAGCTGAGCTTGGAGTTTCCAAAGGCGGAACGGAAGGGACGGGGAGGGATTCTCGCGTACGTCGTTCCCTTCATACTGTATCTATCTATCAGCTAATTCTGTTCCCAGTGACGGTAAGGACACTCGTTACTACCCGTCATGTTCATTTAAACATGCAATCCTTCCTTTATTGTAGAAAGTAGGGAACCCTGCATTCATCGCTTCATCACATACTCATTTATTTTTCAGTGGGACTTGGCAGTAAGGCCTTTTATCATAATCCATCGTATGCCCTGACCGCATAATCCTTCAATTATTATAGAAAGTAAGTAACACTCATCTCTCGCTCGGCCACTTGCTCACGTATTCTCTTTCAGCAATCATGCTCGCTGCCCTCATACATACCAACTGTGAGCCTGACACGGAGCGCCCAGCGGACGAATCCGCGCCCACAGGGACGAAGCACCGCCAACTAAAGCTGAACAACGCCTTCAAGAAGGCGCCCCGCCGCAAAACGCAGAAAGCCCCTTCCTCAACGCTCATCGTCGCCCCCACGTCGCTGCTATCTCAATGGGAGGGCGAGCTGCAGCGCTGCAGTAAGCCCGGGACGCTCAAGGTGCTCCTGTGGCACGGCCAGAACCGGCTCGACTTGGAGGACGTATTGGAGGAGGAGGACGGGGATGCCCCGATCAAGGTCATCATCACGTCGTACGGCGTGCTGGCCTCTGAACACGCCAAATCGGAGAAGAAATCGAGCTCCAAGAGCCCTGTGTTTGAAAGTGAGTTGCACGTTGGATGGAGGTGTGTACTCGGATGACTGAATGGACCGTAGTCGAGTGGCTTCGCGTCGTGCTGGATGAGGCGCATTCGTGCAAGTCACGTTCCAGCAAGACGGCGAAGGCGGTTTATGCGCTGAACGCGCGCAGACGGTGGGCTGTAACAGGTATGTCATTTTGTTCGTAGGCTAGACCAGACTGAATCTTTATTCCGCTAGGGACGCCCATTGTTAACAAACTGGAGGACCTTTACTCGCTGTTGTTAGCATTCTTTTAGCTGTAATTACACACCGCAATCGTTCTAACACAACCTAGGAAATTCCTCGACTTTAGGCCGTGGTCCGACTTTTCATTCTTCCGCTCGTAGGCGCCGTTTGTTCTGTTGGTTGGTCGCCCTCACGCAAATGCAGGTTCATCACGCTGCCTTTCCTGGCTCGGGACCCCAAGGCGATCGAAATCGTACAGATCATCCTTGAATCTATCCTGCTAAGACGCGAGAAGAACATGGTGGACGCTAATGGCAAGCGGATCGTCGAGTTGCCTCAAAAAGACGTGCGTTATTCTGCGGACTTGACACTGTACAGTTGGCACTAAGGTTGATTTGCAGGTCGTCGTGGAGTATCTCGAGTTCTCGACCCTGGAGCGAAAGATATACAACAGCCTGTTCAACTCTGCTAAGCGCGACTTCCAGCAGTTGGACGCGAAAGGCCTCATCGGAAAGAACTACACGCATATTTTGGCAATGCTCATGCGGTGCGCCACCCTCATTGTCCAAAGAGATAGTCCGGCGATTCTGAGATGGATTGAGCAGGTTGCGCCGAGCCGTGCTGCATCCCAACCTCGTGCTTGCTTCCGACGACCAGCGCGCGCTCCCGGAAGATGGCGACGGCGGTGGTGACGGGACCGTTGACGTCAACGAGCTGATCAAGTGCTTTGCGAACGATGAACGAAACGGAACTGGCGAGGGGAGCGGTGGCGGGAATGTTTTTGCGCAGAATGCACTCGAGAACCTCGAACTCGATGAGGCCGACTCCGAGTGTTTGATCTGTTGTGATATAATGCAGTCGCCTATGCTTATCCCCGAGTGCATGCATCGCTAGTGAGTCGTAACTATACATACCGGGTTGACTTGTGGCTGACCATGTACGACAGCTGCAAAGATTGTATTGTGGCCGCTCTTACATCCGCTGAGGAACAGGGCAACGAGCCCCGGTGTCCGTCCTGTCAGCGCGGGCCCATCAAGGTATGTTGCGCCCCCAGCCTTCCTCGCTGCCCGTTCTAACTTGCGCTGCAGGAAAGCGATCTGATTGAAATTTTCCGGCCGCCAAAAAGCTCGCAGGATCCGCAACCGAGTTTGGTTTTGCGGAAGAACGACTTTCACTCGTCGACGAAACTCGAGGCATTGGTCCAGAACCTTCGTAAATATCCAACACAGCGCGCACAAGAGTTCGGCTCACACTACGTCTAGGAAAGCTGCGCGAACAGGACCCTTGTTTCCGTGCCGTGGTCTTCTCCCAGTTCACATCCTTCCTGGACCTTATCCAGGTCGCGCTGAAGCGAGAACGCTTTGAGCAGTATCGGTTTGATGGATCCATGGACGTCAAGAAGCGGGGTTTGGCTCTCGACGCGTTCAGGTCCCCCACGCGGAGACCCAAGGTTCTGATCGTGAGCTTGAAGGCAGGCGGGGTTGGCTTGAACGTGAGTCTTCTTTTCCGACTTTCGCTTCAAATGCTGAGTATGTTCTCTCCAGCTGACGACCGCCAACCATGTGTTCATGGTATGTCGCGTCTATCCACTCACGTCGAAATACTGACCGCTGGTTTCTAGATGGACTGCTGGTGGAATGCGGCAACGGAGAATCAAGGCAAGCCGTCTTCCTGATGTCTGGTGTATGCTGACGGCATCCACAGCCATCGACCGCGTCCATCGAATCGGCCAGCTAAAGACCGTCTACGTCAAGCACTTCATCGTGAGCCCCAAACAAGTCCTTCACTTGATTGACATTCAACGATTCCAGGTGTCCAACACGATCGAGGGACGCATCCTCCGCATCCAGAAACGAAAGACGGCGATCGTCAAGGAGGCGTTTCGAGGGAGCGGCGCCGGGCCCGGCAAATCCGACCCGGAGAGTATTGAGAATCTGAAGATTATGTTTGGGGAGGACACCGATGACGAGTGAGGCGTATACTTACTTGCTCTCAAATTTATCTGCACCGTGGTTATCGAAGACTCGTGCATGTAGCATGGCTTCGCCCACCAACTCTGCCTGCATTTGCGACCGGTCAAAGCGTGAAAAACGAAGCTTCCAAAAATGGAAAACGAGAAAGCGGATATCTCGATGTTCAGGACGGTTTCCCTCGTATGTGTGATCCAATCGGCGAGTTCTCTCGAAGCAGCATGTTCCTCTTTCTTCGCCAAAGACGATGAGATCGAAAAGGGAGCCATCAGTGTGTGTTTCCGGATGTAAAAAAAAAGGAAAACATGTTCGCGGTTGTTCTGGTTGTATTTTGACGGTCTGTAATTCAATCTGCACAGTCGTTCGAAGTAAAAATGGTCGAACGAAGATGCAAAAGCAGTGATGAGAGTGGGATTCGAACCCACGCCCCGGAGGACCAGATTGGAGGATGATCTCCAAGTTTAGCTTCAGTAGAAGCTGATCCTTAGTCTGGCGCCTTAGACCGCTCGGCCATCTCACCTACTTGATGGCAGACGTGTCGGGAACGTGTGGTGGGACCAACCTACTCCGAAGAATCATGAAGATTGGCGGTTAAGATATCGCCGAAACATCTCCGAGAGTCCGAATGGGCCTACATTCTTTGTTGGTCTGCTATCCCACCGACTAGTAAAGAGACCTCGGGAAGGTAGACGGACGTGGAACCAACACTCTCCACCGAGTTCGAGTTCAACCCGAGTCTGACTAACCCTCCTTCAAGTATTCGTATCTTGCTACTTGATCCATGAACGACTGTCTTTGGCAGAAGATCACCTCAGATTGGCACGCTGTGTAAGAAAGTTCCCGTTATATAACACAAACTTTCTAACCTGTTATTAACATGTTAATAACGTTTCTCACATCGGAGGCTCCGGGATGCCTGTAATTAATACGTGAGAAATACCCCAAAAATACACTTTCCCCGAGTCATTTTCAGTTCAGCGTGACAGTATAAAGTACCAGAATATTTAGTGTGGTCTGGGTTGGGGCTGGGAGCGGCGAATCCGTCAAATTCAGGTTATTGACTTCGATTTGAACATCAGAAATAGCTTGGAAACAGCGCGAAAAAATGGCCTGTAAGCGTGATTATGTCATGTTAGAAACCTGTAATTTACATGCCCTTGTTATCTAACAACAGCCTGGTTTGAATCTAACGTTAGAAACAGTTACTCACATTGCCAAATTTGATTCTTACACAGCGCTACCTGAGATTGCTATAGAGGCTGTACAACGAGCTGTTGAAATAAGCCCCGAGGGAACGTCACAAGCGAGTAGAGTGGGGAATCTCGTTGTAATCCGGTAGTGTACATGGCAGTAAGTACACTACTTATATACTACTCGTGAGCGCTGTCGTGACTAATATTTATCACTTGCATCTGACTTGCACTGGTTGAACGATGCGCCCGACTCCGACTGACTGGAGATGACCACGGCAGGCAGCGCCGGCGCGCACGCGCTGTTCTCGCAGATGCCGAGCTCGGAACAGCTCGCACAGCCACTACATTTCCAACACGAGCCTATCTTGCTACTATATCTTCCAAATCCCAAGTCCCCGCAACGCAAGATGCCGAATAACGACTACATGAATGCGCTGTCGCCCAACCACTGGCAAACAATTTTAGACATTTCCACCACTGGCAAGTTGATCGTTTCAGGGGCCCGTCTCTGTCGAACATGATCGCACCGGAAATAACTGCTAGGGCCCAAGACGTGAATATTTGAATGTCCGAAAGAGAGTTTCAAGGAAAGAGATCAAACTGCGCGGTCGCTCAGCGCCATTCGAGTGCCGGCCTGGTTGAACCGTGGGAAATTACCTTTCGACGAAAGCTCCACCACAAACTCAACCGAATGGAAAAAGGCAGATTCACACTGCAGGGCCTTGGTCGAACCGTGGGAATTTACTTTCATCGACGACAACCGAATGAAAAAAGCCCGAAGAACTGTCGACTTACCCTGGGCGGACTGGCCGAGCTTCGAATGTAGCTGGCAAGCAGTAGATTCGTAGAGAGTTCGAACGCGGATTATTTTGTTGTTCAACTCGCCCCACGGGCCCATACTTTCGAATGATCAGGTTGGCATTATTGTTTTGAACGCCGACGCAATACTCAGATACCCCGAACTGAAGTGAGTAGTGAGTTCCAGACACCTTTTCGATGAGATTTTCCCGGACTCCGATGAATATGTATTATGGTGGTGATGGGGCGAATTCGCGCACGTTCGAACTCAAACCCCGAATCGGATGATGGCTTGCGACTCCTACATATGAACACATAGAGGATTCCACACGTCATCGACCAAAGACGTGTGGAATGTAAAATCCCCAAGTTGCTCCGGAGCCCAGGTCGCTCAGAGTCGAGATGGAAATTTAAACACTCGTAGCTCCAACTTCCCGGATGGAGTTGCGCGTAGGAAGACTGGGGCAGGTTCACAGGCAGGAAAGGAAAAGAGCAGGGCCCATTGGCGAGCCAGGTCGAAGGGCTGCCGCCTGTTCAGTACTCAGCTCGGGGCGGCCAGATATTCGGCAGCTGTGGGGTTGGGCAGCCTGTCAATCGGAAAAGTATCGCCAACCAAAGAGCCAGTGTTGCTGATGTACTGAAAAATCTACATCCAAGGAATAAATCTGAAATAAGATACCCAATACAAGTCGTCCTGTAGTGTACAATGGGGAGAAGGTCCGGGGCCGGCCTCACACGTATACCGGATTGTAGTTTGTTCTAAAATATAATAAATCGCAGATCCGCTCTATCCAGCTCGTACTCACACCAGAGTGAACCCCTCGTCACTCGGCAGCTCTTCATCCGCGCCCTGAAAATCATCCGGATCCCCACCGGCAAGCTCGACCTTGTAGCGCCGCCAGAGCGTGTTCACGCTCTCGCCCGTGAGGCGCTCGAACACCGCCGCGTCGTAGTCCTTCCCCTCCAGCTCGGCGTTCAGCGCGCGGACCGTGCCTGCGCCCGCGCGCCGGTCGATCCAGTCGAGGAAGTACGCCGTCGTCTGGTACCCCCGCGTCCCACTTCTGGTCGCAGCCCGCCTCGCGCTTCCAGTGCGGCGGCCCGAGGTCCGCGCGCAGGCGCACAAAGTCTGCACATGCGCTGTGAGTCGTCGGGTGGTTACGATTGCAGGGTCCGCACCGGCGATGCCCTCGATGAGGCCGCCGGGGGCGGTGCCGTTCGCGTTGTGCTGGTAGCAATGGACGACCTGCGCGCAGCCATGTAGTTACCAGGCTGGTGGGGGTGCTGGGGCACGCACCTCGTGCACGAGAACGCCGAGGATCTCATCGCGCGCACGGCCGGCGCTGTTCACTATGTGGTCGAGCGAGAAGTGGATCTCCTTCTCCGTGTGTGAGCCGAAGGTGTGCGCAACGCCGGCCATGGGGCGCAAGACCAGCACTATCGAGGCCACGCTGTGGGACACGTCAGATAGTATTCCGTTGGATCGTTGGCAAGGTACTTTGTTGGTGCGCATGCTGGCGTAGCGTAGAGGTAATTGAAACTTGCCAGGACTGCCGCGCGCAGGGCTGCCGCGGGCTGGACATTTTCGAGAAATAGAACGGCTCCTGGGTGTGTGAGGTCCTCTATACGAAGAGTGAATTTCGGTAACGGCCACTCGGGCTCGGACGGTGGAGAAGTCGGAGGCATATTGTCAGCACCGCCACACCGTCCCCTGTCATGAAAAGGCTTAGACTCCGAGAAGGCCAAATTAGCTTACAGCCACTTGTTTAAGGGCAAAGAACACGACGACGCCATCATGGATGGCCCAGCAACATTTCGACGAGATAATCCCCAGAAAACAACCAATTAATTTCTCGTAGCTCGCGTACATTTATACACTCAATAATGATAAAAGTTCATTTAATCTGGATGCAAGTCAGCGTCGGCGAGAAACGCGACGGAAAGGAAAGGGCTCACACATGACACAAGTCTTTCAATGTTCCCGAATACCTGCGGCGGCTTCGACGCGTAAGACCTCTTCCCGCATTGCGTCGCGTCCCTCCTCCAGCCAATGGATATATTCGACCGCGCGAAACAGCACACCGCTCTTCCCCTTGCTCTGGCCCTTGCTCCGGCTGCCGCTCCCCTTTGGCCGGCCACGCTGGGGCATCCCAAGACCTGGCGTAGATCCGGCCGGCGCGAGCAGCGCTATCAGCTGTGCATACCCATCGCGGATGGCGTTCCGCCGCTTCTGCTCCGACATGATGTGGTTGAGCCGTTTCTGCGGCGTCGAGAGGAGGGGCTTTGCGCGCGCGGCGGCAAGAGCGGGGGCGACCGCGGAGTTGGCGGTGCTCGAGGTGGAATGCTCGTTGGTCTGTGAAGATCCCTCGGACGCGTTGCTCGGCGTTGCGCTGTCGCATCTCGGGGATAGCTCGTGTCGTCGTAACTGCGGTTGCCGCTGCTGTTGTTTGTGTGCGCGGGTGGTCGACGATCGGGTGCTCCGTCGGGGACGCCCTGAGGTGGATGGCTCGGGGGCGGTATTCAGATGTGGATTTGAATATGGAGCGCGGGGAGATAAATAGGGCTGTGGGTCCTCCCATGCAAAATCATTGAAATTGTCGAGGAAACCTAGCAGATCGGTGGTCTCGGCTTGAGAAAAGAGATCTGCGGAGGCGGGGAGGGTTGGTGGATTGGGGAAGAGATGGGGGTCGAAGTCAAAGTCAAAGTCGGGGAATGGTGGTGGGGGCGAAAGAGACATTTGATCGAAAGGACAGGCATGCAGACTTCAGCAGAAGAGCAAATCCACCCGGTGATCGAATCCCCTCAATGATGAAATCAGAATCTGGGGAGGTTTTTCCCAACCACATGGCTTGGTAAAAACTTTGTGGTTGCCAACCGCGCGCATAGTGACGGAATATCTCTCCGCGAGGAAATAATAATCGTATCTTCGTACGCCTCCAGGAATTTTGCCCCAATTTCTCCTTTGCGGCCTCGGCTCGATTTGGCCGAAATCCTGGCAAATCATGTCTCTCGGCAGATATTCGCCGGAAGTCGTCCTCGCCGGGCTCCGCTTCCTCACCGTCATCCCGCCCGCCCGACCGCCGTCTCGGTCGAAATGTCAGCCCATCCCGAGGAGCTGGACTCGCAGATCATCACCGACCAAATCCAACAGCATCCTCAGCACCCGCAGCAACACCCCCAACATACTCAGCAGCACCAGCACCAGCACCAGATCCAGCAGGTCCAGCAGCCGACTCAGTCCCCAAGCGAGGGAACGAGTACCCGCAAGCGTGCGTAAAAAATCTGCCACTCGCGCTAACCGCGGGTTCAATCAAATCGCAGCGAAAGCTCCTTCAGTCCGTCGCGCCTGTGTAGCTTGTCACGCCGGTAAAACACGATGCAGCGAGTCTCTCCCTTGCCAGGCAGGTCCAGTAATTTTTCAAAGTCCCCGTCGCGACTTAGAGCATCTCAAGAACTGTATCAAACGGGGACTCGGCGGCGTCTGCGCCTATCCGGATCCCGAGACGGAGCAGCAACATGACCGTGCCGCGGC